CAGACGTTGTGATTATTGTTCGTTTGACAGCCGCATCGTCTAATCTCTGTTCGTTTGTCTGTCGCTGCGTCTGAAATTTTAGCCGCGACGCTAATTTTTAAACGCAGACGCTGAATTTTTTTGCGACCAAAAATTCGTGACGCAAGACGCAGCGTCTAGCTGCAGCGTTTGGCCGCAAGAGCCGCGGCAGGCAAACGAACAACAGCTGACCGCATGACGCAGCGGCTCTCAAATGAACATGCCCATCGAAAAAAAGAGCGGAGGAGAAAGAAGAACTTTTTTTTCTCTCTTGCTTTTTAATAATCTATCAATATAATTACTGTAGATAACACGTATTATTAAAATTTAACAGCGTTTACAAATTTCCATCAATCAAGTTAACTCCGTTAACGGTGATGTAGTAAAGCCAAAACATTTAAAAATTTTGTGTATTGAAAAACTAACGCTAAATAGTTTGGGTATTAATTGGATGAATATTTTTTTCAGCATATAATTAAATTCGGGAATTTTTCAGGAATTTTCTCATATATAAATAAATAAACATTTTTTGAGAATAAAACAACAACAACAAAAAAAAACAAGTAAATTAATAAGTGTATCCCGCGCAACTTTTTAACAAAATTCATTTCTCTCCAATTTCAGTCTCTCGAGTTTGTTCATCGATTCGCCAGTTTCAGTCTCCTGATTGGTGTTGCCGGAATACTGGATTACTGACCCGACCCGAATTACTAATGCTGGAAGTGGAGGAGACGAGTGGTGGTTCTACTTGCGGCGAATCGTTGAGGGAGTCGCCGAAAGTCTTGACGGGCGGTGATCGGAAATTATTGAAGGTGGAGCTCCGGCCAGGGGATACGACGTATGTGTCGTGGAAGAAGCTCATGAGGGAAGCTAGTAAGGTCAATGGGTTATCGGCTTCGGTACCCGATCCGCCTCCAAATGCTAACCCTAACCTCGAGTCTCGCCTTGCGCCGGTGAGTTAGGTGTTGCAGGAATTTACTCGTATATATACTCTTAAGCATTTGTGTGCGGTTTTCGTTGCCGCTATTGGATCAGGCATTGTTCTTGGAGCTGTATTTTCTTTCTGGGGATTTGTTAGGGTTTCTCCAGGACACCTTCGCTAAATTTACCAATTTTTGGGGGAAAATTAAAATTCTTGACATAGATACGTGGTAGGAGGAATTCTGTGGTCAATTTGCCTCTGGCATTGATTGTCTAGAGTTCACTCCTTAAACGGACAAAATCTTGAGCTTTATATATGATATCTAGTTGCTAGCTTGATGAGGCTAAATGTGAATATGCCACTAAATCAATTATACTTGATATGGGAAGGAATTTGGTCAGTTAGTTGCAATGAAAACTGTAGCCGTATGAGCGAAGGATATAGAAAGTTCAATTAGCATCTATTAGTGCAAGGGATCTTCACTTTAAGAAGGTAGAAGATGCTTGCGGCTTCCTCACAAATTTATTCTTCTTATGCATACAATATGGATTCAAATTATTGTTGACGACTCTATTTCCATATCCAATGTAGGGGCCTCCAGCAGAAATTGAAACGAATGACCAACCTCATTCTAACTGTTTCAACGCTGTTATTGAGAAGATAGAGAGGCTTTATAAGGTGTGCTACTCTCTGTTAAAACACTTTTGTTTTGGTAGGTTGTCAGATGTTTGATATATTACATTTTGCATACCATGCGTTAGCACCGTTGCATCCACACAACTCTGTATAGTGTATGCTAACTTCAGAAAATAACTCTCAGGGAAAAGATAGCAGTGATGAAGAGTTAGACGGTGCTCCTGACGATGATGAGTATGACACTGAAGATTCATTTATCGATGATGCTGAACTAGTTAGTGTTGATATCTTTCATATGTTTTTATGCGCGCCAAGTACTTCTTGATAGCTGAGACATCATATA